AGAAAAACAATTGAAGGTTGAGTATTCACTAAACTAGCATTGTTATAAATGGGATATCCTGTATATTTTACAAATTTTTAAAGAAACATTAATTTGAAACCTAAAATTATTATTGCATAACTTGTAACCGTCATTTTGACAGTTACCCATTGATTTTATTTTATTAGTTTTTGTACATCTAGAACGGTATAGATGTAAACTGTTAAGTGGTTTATTTTTAGTTTGACTAATTGCTAAGTATACCTATTTTTAATAAGGATATTTCTTTAGTGGCCTCTTTCCAAAAGAATTTAATTAGTTTTATTGATGTTTCTTTAATTTATTACCTTGTTTTGATAGTATGCAACCCGTTTGTTTTTCATTGCATTTGTTTTTAGTTTTCTTTACATTGGCAACACTGTGTTTATTTGTTTAAATAATCTTCTACGCACTTAACAAGGTTTACGCTTTCTTTTCCGTTTGGTTGGGAGTAAGCTTTGGCTTAAAATTTGGATAGAATTCCAAAGATGTGTAGTAAGTCTTCTGGTTTAATGGCCCAGGGCCGGATAAAGCATTAATTGTGTCGTACGAAAACTCATGGTGAGTTAATAGTTTTTTTTTAGTGAATAAATTTTTGTTATCCACGCTGTCCTCCATTTTAGGCAGCGATGTGTTTCATGTTTCAAAGTTTTGTAGAGCTATTTCCAGAAGATTAAAAACCTCTTAGACCAAGGGTAAGTTTGACGTTTTGTGGTTTTCCAAGATGCTTAGACGTAATACTATTTTTTTTTAGGGTTTGAAGTACAAGTTTTAAGTACATGTTTTAAGTACATGTTTTAAGTACATGTTTTAGGTACATGTTTTAAGTACAGATTTAAAGTACTGGTTTTAAATATCGGTTTTAAGTATGGATTTTTTTATGCTGGAGTTTTTACGTTAGACTGTTTAAGTCAGATTTGTGGTAAGGGAATGTTTTTTACCATGAAGTTGTTTTGATGATGGCAAGTTCTTACGTTAATGAAAAGCCATCCTGTACAATCTGACATGCAAGAGATTTCATCATCGAAAGCCAACCATCTACCAGAGCCCCAACTGCGAACAGGTCGTACTTCTAACTAGTTATATTAATGTTAAATAGCCATTACACGCTTATGTACTTTTGAGTCAAGCGTTCCACATAGTCTTCAACTTTTAATTTGTAGTTATTATAAACATTGTTTTTATCATCTTATTTTTTCTGTAATTTAGTCCCTTAGACTTTGGTTTTTGTAAACCATATATGGCCATATAAGGGTACCCTATTTGTTTAAACCATTAAATATTATATACGATCACCATCACGTAAACAACTGTGAAAGAAGTTAATTATAATTTATAATTTTAAACTTGACTTTTTATACCCTTACTTACCAATAAGTTAGTGTCTGGCTTAATTGTCTAGTTACAATAAGTTTGAAGATCACATAGATTTATTTTGATGTAATGCTAATTCTGTAAAGCGTTTTTTCTTAACCTACCTATTTTAATTTATTTTTTTATCCTTTTTTTCCTACTCTTTTTGGTTTAGTTTGCATAATCTGGTTTTATTTTTTGTTCTTAGTTAAATGTGATATGATTTTATTATGTGTAGGTATATATGTTATACATGTTTATATGTTTTTTTTTTATATATATTCTGTAAATGGGTCTAGGCGTGTAGAATATTAATTAAATAAATAAATAAATAAATAAATAAATAAATTGGATTTTAACAACTGGCCATAATAATACACTGGCGCCCAATTTTGATTTGCTTTAGTAAACACACGTAAGTATCGAGAAACAACATTTGCCCATCGACCTATCTCTCCGCTGAAAAGCTGCCGTTCGCCATAGCCCTCGAGTTGAGGTTACAAACTACCCTAAACTTAAAAATAAACAATTAAAAAGCACTCTTATAGTTTTTAACATAAAGTTCATATGCTTAGTAATTATTTATTTTTAAGTTAAAGGTTAGATTTGTTATAACAATTTTTGGTTCCAAGTTAAATTACCTTTCAAAATATGTAAAAATTAACAGGGTGCCTCTTTGATGTTCAATTTAATTTGTTTTAATCGGTGACAAAAATGCAACCAATTTGTTAATATAACCATCTTTGTAGCTCTAATATAAACATAGTTAGCAATGATGAACACTAAACTTCAGACACGGTGAATATATTATTATACTAACTTAATTTACTTTGTTCGATTAGAAGTAATGTATTGTATATAGAATATCGAATATTTAATGATGAATTGAGCAGTCAGTTTTTCTATATTCTATGAATGGAAATGGATTAGAAATGCAGTGGTAGGCAACCCTTATATAACTTTTCACATTTTAATAAATAAAAAGTTTGAAAATAGTTAATAAATTAATAGTCTGTACTCGTGTGAATCACTGAACTTTAAATGGTATTAACTTTTAAAGTAAAGTTAAATTTTTAAAATCCATTGGGGGTTTCGGTTTCCCGATATTATGACCCATCCAGGTAGTTTTCGATGAGGCTAAAATTTTTGTATAATGTTATCTATCACACTTTGGTACAAAATAATTTGTTATTTACCACATTTGGATAAACTTACTTAAAATTGACTACAAAAATATCGAAACAACTATTGCAAGATATTTTTGAACCAAAAAAGTTCAATTTTTCCAATGTGGATGACGAATAAAACCTGATATAATCCTTAGCTCGCATTATTTTGTTTTATTTCAAATTATTTAAAATGACAAGGATGAATAAATTTATTTAATAAATTATATTTCCACAATATTCATTATCATCCAAATAATTAAATAAAAATTTAAATGATTTCCTCTTTTATTTATACCCGAGAAAAGCATGAATGTGTATGGATTAAATATTTAATTTGAACACATTCTTCTGTGCCAGTAGTGTCTACAGTTAAATAGTTTATATAACTGCCCGCTTGTACTAACCGGACTGCAGATGTTTTAATTAAACAACTCGCTTTGCTTTAATAGAGTAGCAAAGGATTAATTTTATCTAAATTGTTTCGAAGACTATTGTTTACAATTAAAATGTTCGAAAAATATTTAAGTTTTTTTATTTGAATACAGTAAATTACTCCTATTTTATAATAAATAAATAGTATATTGTGCGTCTAGTGGGCGAAAGAGGAGATTCTTCAAGCTAGGAGTTTGCTGCACGAGAGTTGCGAGTGAGGTAACACGCGAGTGGAATCTCCTCGTTTGACCTATAGTTGTAAACAATATTTCATCCAACAACCACAAAGAATTTAAAGCCAATTTTATTTGATATTTTATCCGACATATGACAGCTGTCAATAAGTTTTAACCTCACTTTTTCCAAATTTAACTTAAAGCTATGTCAGCCCGCGGGCGAACTGCTATTGCCATATTTTAAGGCAAATTTGTCACCTTTTAACGAAGCCACTTGACCTATAAGTAGAACTCGAAAACAAGACATAAATAAATCTGCATCACGTTAACTGATTGGTTTAAATTATTTTGACAGCCTAGGAATATCCATCATATCCATGATTGTTGACAATAATACATTTTAAATTATAAACCGCTTAAAGATAGTATATAAATAACTATTTTGGTCACAAGGCTAAGAAGTAAGTCTTTTTGTGCTTGAGCGAATTACAAAAAGGTACTTCTTTAAGAAGTCTTCTTAACCCTACTCTTAACAGCATATTTTATCTTTAAGGCATAATTTTATTTATTAAACAATACATAAAACTCAGAGATCAGCAATAACGTTTTTTTTTGTTATCGATATGGCTATTTATTAGTGATTATTTAAAAATAAATATTTGTTGATGTTTTTAAATTAATTGGATCATTGTAATTAGCCAAAAAAATATGGTCAATTATTTCAAAATTGATTATGACTTAACTTCCAAACAATTACGGAATCAGATTCTACTAATTCTACTAATCTTGTAAGTACCTTTTAAGCATATTAACAGTATTTGACGAAAATCCCAAAAAATGGAATATCGAAAATAAGATGCTATGGTTAATTGTATTAAACGCTTTGGAGTAATCTAGAAGCACAAATGCTGCTGTTTTGCCTTGGTCTCTGTCTCTTAAAATATCATCATTAACGTCCAGCAAGGTGGTAGCACAACTAAATCCTTTTCTAAAACCAGACTGCCTTGGTGGAAAAATTTCGTAGTGATTAACATGCTTCAGAATTTGCAAATTCATAATTTTTTCCAGAAGCTTTGAGAGAACAGGCAAAATTGAAATAGGTAAAGTGACCAGATTCTGTCAAAAAATAGAGGGACATTTTGTATGCATTTACCTTAATTACAAAATTGACAAAATAATACAATGCAAATTATAAATTTGACGTTACTTAATTATTGTTGATTATGTCATTTTTGTAATTAAGGTTAATTTACACAAAATGTCCCTCTATTTTTTGACAGAATCTGGTCACTATTTAATAGGTCGCAAATCATTATATGACGTTTTAATATGACGTTATAATATCTTTTTGGGTATCTCAAAAACTGCTCTACTTTCATAATTTTTGACAGTATTTTCGGAATCAGGGGACAATTTTACATAAGAATTGACTGTTAAATTTTGGGATACCATGGTATTCCATTGTTAACCATGGTTAACCATAAGTGAAAAAGCAGCCTCTAATAACTGTAATAATTAGTCATTTTTGACTAATTCATTTTAAGAAAGAAGGCATATTGTTATATTCACTTGTAATGTATTCTTGAAACTTTCCAAATTTAAAAATAATAAAGCGCTTAGTATTCGAGTCATGCAGGCGGAATTAAATTGAAATATAATAATTAAACAATGCATTTTACATAGTATTAAAATATTATTAGAGTTAAGGTTTTATAAAGGTGTTTGTTAGTTAGACTTTGGCAAAGATCGAAGAACATGTCATCGTATTTGCGATGTTTGCCATCGGACAGGATCATTATTCAGGATTTTAGTCTCAGGTGGGTCGGTAATTCCGCCTCCTAGGAGCTCTTACCTTCGACAGCGTTGTGGGATGAGGATAAAGGTTCACTAGACAGCTCTCCCTGCGGAGCCGGTAGTCCCATCGCGTTTCCAAGTGAGGTATCTCCATTGTGTCGCATATCGACTGTACGTGACTGGCTGTGTGAGCCGACTGCGGCCCGAAGATAGCAGCCACCCCGCTACGTAATAGGTGACAAACTGGAAAGAAAATTAATTATTCATAGTAAATTAACGCCCTTAACTTTCACAAGTGGATTTGCGATTGCTATTTTATACTCAAATGGTTAAACGAACGTGTTTATCCAACAAATTGCTTAATCGATGACACATAAACCATTAACAAATCTTTTAAGGTAATCATCTTAAGTTTGGTGTTTATGTTTATTATTTATTAACCCTTTTCCCGACGGACGTGGTCATTACAAAATAAAACTTCTTCATAACTTTTTAATATATTTTTTCTACTCCCACCTTTAAAACGCCCTTTATCGTACATGTTTCCATGACACTAAGTGACCTTTTAAATACACATTGACAAGTTGTGGCTTTATGGCGCTTTAGTCACGGGCTTAAGTTAGCAATAGGATTTTAGTCAAGGGCTGAAGTTAGTTTTAAGTTAGTTGATCGTTGAAATAAAGTGCCTTTCTTGTAAAATAATACTAAATGTGAAAATTATTTTATTTCAATACAAAAATATTAAATAGTTTCTCAACGCCAATATTTAAAAAGTTTAAATGAACATTGTACTGCCTTTTAATTTCGCCCCACTCCACTTTAAAGTCCTCATAAAACATTTTCTTTACTTGCACTGTGAAAAACTGTCAATTTTCAAGAAATTCATTTCGATTTATGACCTTTATTATCTGTTTATAAAATGTAAAAATGTGACATTTGACGTTGACACACAGATTCCACTATTGTTTCGTAGATGGCGCTCTATACAAATTTTTGATTTTTTTTTAAGATAATTGTCGTAGAAAAAGTATTGTATGCACCTCGTTTATAAACTTTTCTATACTCATTAATTTAAGGACTCGCTCGCAAGCTCGCTCGTGCCTAAATTAAATTCGTGTATAAAATGGCGTTTATCAAACTTGATACATAATATACTTTTTTAACCCTGACTCCTTTACAGTACCTTTCAAGCATATTAAAAGTTTTAATTATTAATAATTATAATAATTATACTTAACACAATATAAAATTTAGTTTTAAAAATTCGTATGGTTCCCATGTATCATTTTGTATTGACATACCCCGCCCGATCGAAAGTTTATACACTCACAGGCAAAATAATCGATCCAACAAATTTTCGATGAATTTCAATCGCAAATAACTTTTTTATTTGATGTCGGATTTAAACGAATATTAAAGAATATTGTGAATAAATTAATGGAGAATCGCTCACATTTTAAAAAAATCTAAAAAATAGATGTACGTTTATAATATACAGGTTTAAACAAAAAAAAGTATTTTATCATAAGTTTAAGACACTCTGTAGAGTGGCTAAACCGTATATTGTTCTAAATTAAGTTTTAATTATGAAGTCACATCTATTCTTAACATTTTTGTTTTTGGTTCACCTAGATATATTTATTTTTGTGTAAATATAGATTAAAAAAAAACATTGCAATTTCCAATATTTTTTCTGTACAAAGAACTAAGGTTGCTATGGTCCATCCATAGGCTATGGAGGATGACAGTGACAGTTTTGTTGAATCATCCCATACTTGGAAATGTCATATACGGCTTTCAAAAGCTATCAAATTGTTTTTTGCAACTTTTGGGGTGCCTTCTTACTTTTAAAAATGGATATGTCTCCGACTGATATTGCCAGAGACATTGATTTAGTTTAGGATGGACGGTCACAGTATTGCGTGGCAAGTGTTTTAAACGTCACAAGAAGTAAAGTACAAAGGGAACATCAGTCAGAGACATACATTTTTAAATGTAAGAAGACACCTCAAAATTATCACATTAATTTAAAAAAAAACAATTTGATAGCTTTTGAAGGTCGTATATGACATGTCCAAGTATGGGATGATTCAACAAAACTGTCACTGTCATCCTCCATAGGCTATGGATGGACCATAGCAACCTTAGTTCTTCGTACAGAAAAAATATTGGAAATTGAATGTTTTTTAAAAATTCCATATTTTCCACATAAATAAATATATCAAGGTGAACCAAAAACAAAACTGTTAAAAATAGATGTGGCTTGACAATTAAAACTTAATTTAAAACAATATACGGTTTTGCCACTCTACAGAGTGTCTTAAACTTATGGTACAAAAAATCTTTTTGTTTAAAACTGTATATTATAAACGTACGTCCAATTTTTAGTAATTTTTAAAATGTGAGCGATTCTCCATTAATTTATCTACAATATTATTTAATATTTGTTTAAATCAGAAATCAAATAAAAAAGTTATTTGTGATTTAAATTAGTCGAAAATTTGGATCGATTATTTTGCCTGTGAGTGTATAATACACTGTGTATTACTCCTTTTAAGTACAGAATATTTTAAAAATTGACCGTATTTAAATATAAAATTTAATAAATGAAAGAATTTTTTTAAACGATATATGCGTTTAAATATTTAAAATGGAATAAATAAAAATAATCAAAAAGAATGGAAAGTTTCAGTATGATAAATATTATAATAAATTAAAATAACATCGTTGAAATAAATGCAATTTAAAAAAATGTTGTATATTAAAATAATGCTTTGATAATTGTTATTATTTTTAATTTAGTTACAATTTAATAATTTTTTTAATGGTGAAAATCCTCGTTGCTAATTTTGTAAAAGTATTAAATAAATTAAAATTGACTGTGTCCGTTTTTCGAGGCATCTCGCGTATATTATCTTAAAGTTTTAAAAGCTTGAAAAAAGATTCGAACTCTCCTATGAAAAACTGCCTTAATAATATCTGAATTAGGTATAATAGGATCTCTTCAATTAAATCTATTAAAAATATTTAAAATTAAAATAAAAATTACAAACTCTCATTTTGTTACGATATTTCGAAAACTAAAAATAATTAGATCAGATCATTGAGCGGCATGAAAATGGGCTACTTTTACTTTTAAATTTAACCATGCCTTAGCCTTAAAAACGGACACCTTCTATAGGTTATGTATGATAATATGAATTGAACACTTTAATTGTATATATTAATTAATTCAAAAACTTAAATTTAGTTTGAACTTAATTTACTGATCCAAATGCACGTTATAATTGACACAATTTCTGCCATAAGGCCAACTTTTACTTGTATTCGCTTAATTGAATTTTGTTAAATTTAAATCCTTTATACAAAAATATATCTTATACCTATATTAATAAAAATAAGGGTTAGTAAAATATTAGTGCAATTTAAATATAATTATCTCTGGAAATATATATGATACAAAAAACATCACAAGTCTATTTTTGTAAAAAAAAATATCATTCATAAAAAAATTCTTATCTCGCGTATTTTGTAGACTATAGGTAAATTTCCTTATGAAATATTATGGTTTTCTCATGTTATGAGAAAAACTATACATGTATAGCTCGACCCTATCGCGCCCAAATTTAAGGACGTTCAAAAGGTCAAATCCTGTCAAAAAAATTAAAAAAAAATTCTGGACAACCTAATATACAGGTCCAAAAATCACCGCCAAACAAAATGGATCGATGCGAAAATATAACACGAAATTTCCTTTACCATTTTTAATGCCACCATTGAGAGAGCTGTGTTTCTACTCTACAAGTTTTTGTTATATTTTTTGTGTTTTCAGAAGACGCTGATATTTTATCATTGGAAGTAAACAATAACAAATTTGGTGCGTGTTGCGCAAGCGCTGAGTCAAAAATTGGGGCTCGCCCTATAGAGCAGAAACCCCTACGCTCTCATAGACAGCCTTAAAACAAAGGGCTACAGTTTGACCTTTTGACATAAACGTTTTCCATCAATAAATTAAAATCTAACATCATTTTACGACATTCTTTCTCGTTCCAAAGATATGTTCGGTATCTATTCAAATTTGTTGCCGACATTCATATTAACCATACGAGAAAAGTTTTCTTTACGATGAATAAAGTTTTCCTAGTGTTCGCTCGGAAAATTCCAAGTCTAAAATGGAATTTTTATTTACTACCCTTGTAAATATAAAGAAGCTTCTGGAATTAATCAAGTTTAGACAACACTAGGCAAAAAAACTCGTCCTAAATAAATAAACACCAGTAAATACAAGAAGTGTCTACAGACCATTCTTCACAAAGGCTTTCGATCCCGCACATGCACACTTGAGTGGAGCATAACCAACCAAAGGTGACATAATAGGTCTATGCGTAACTGCACAGTGGGTTGCAACATTATCGATGGTCAGCAAGCTTGGAATCGACTCGGACATAGACGAACAGGAAGTTCTAAAAGTAGGATAGGTTCTAGCTACATACTAATCACCCAAGCCCCATTCAACAACCCCAATTGAATGGGGTTATTACTAAATACCTGGTTTAGGGGAACTCCGGATTGTACTTAGTTTTGAGTCAGTTCAATGTCCCGCAAAAACTAAAATGTTTTCCCTCCTGGTCCCACACTCCACTAGCCTACATCGGGCGTATGGCTCGGCCCGGCTACAAAATTCCGGGAGTGGCCTTATCCATCGACACTGTCATCCACGACCTTCTAGGGAAGATTTACCTGCCGGGGTAAAAGTTTGGATCCACCAAACACAGGCTACGCTGTGCTTTGGCGGGATACGTAGGACAACCGAAAGGGGGTAAAAATAACGCTGGGAGGTCAGTGTAAGGCGTTTCCGATGGGGCCTGCCATAGTAATACTCATCAAAATATTAAAATATTGTTCATGGATTAAATTTTTATGATTATTTTTTTTGACAGTTCTCTGTATTGTTGGGACATTGTTGAGGCATTGTTGTTGAGGGAACCTACAGCGAATTACAGCGATAATTTTTTGAAAATTTTCTCTGGTAGTTGCTATATATAAAAAAGTCAAATTAATTACACGTCAAACTGACAGGTTGAATTCAATTGTGAAAATTGGAGATTTTGCATGAAAATGAGTCGATTTGGAGTTTGTTCTCTGTCCACCATCGATAAAAAAGTCAAAGGAAATGTTCCCATTAATACGGAGAAGTCAAAAAAAACAGTTTGGAACCAATTTACTACTTTTTGTACTGAGAG